TCTTGCCCACGGACACAACGACCGAGACTGTCCGAGCCGGTTAGTGTGAAATACACTGCGTTTCAGGCTCACGTGCAGCTACAGTCTTTAGTGTACAATTCAAAAACGAAAATACTGTAGAAAAGTATTTTTTACTATATATGTTTTTTTTTGCCTGTTTTTTTTTTTTTACTATATATGTTGCTACAGTAAACTACACTTGACTGACAGTTTGACTGATTTGAAGGACGACAGCGCTCTGTCCTAAACAGTCGCTGATGCTCTTCCTGCCAAACTGCTTCTGTTTCCCTGTCAAATAAACAACATGCAAAATATAAAAGGCTTTGCAATGAATTTAATCTGATCACACAAACATTTTACCCACAAATATGTTTTTTTTTTTCCTTTTTCTAATGTTACATTTAAAAATTCCAACAGATTCTCCAAACTAAATAACAGAATACATCACTGGTCCCGTAGCAGGGCGATAATTACTAACACTCATCACTAGACTTCACATTATTGGTATTAAAGATGATCTCACACACACACACACACACACACACACACACCAACATTCACTGTAAAGGTTAAATGATATTTGTATTTGTCTGCGAGACAGCAACACATTTTTTAAATATAATACCTAAATACTGTTAATACACAAATATACAGAAAAAAAATCACACAGTTCACACGGTACATGCAGCTAACAGTAACTACATCAGCAAGCACACTTGAATTTACATGTACAAACATGAAACACAGGTAACATATTAACACCTTCAACAACAGTGTCACTAAAATGTCATTTAAAGACATTAAAATCAGTAAATTACTTTTGACACTGAAGTTAATCACAGCCCCTGAGAAACAGTGAACCTCATATAGAGCGTGTTTGTGTGAGTAAACAAAGACATGAACATTTTAGTCCTGTCAATAGATTAAAAAACTAATTAATCGCACAATTTTCTGTAATTAATTTTGATTAATCACAATTACTTGATCAATATCCTGGTTGCAATTACTTTTTTTTCAACTTTATATTTAAGCTTGTAACTGACATTCATGCAATATAATGGAGTAAATGCAGAATAAACACAAAGAATGTATGCTTACATTCAAAGAGAATTTGAATAGTTTTCTTCAGTCTTTTAACACAGGTTCTTTCCGGTGAAATAAAAAATAAAAAAACCTATATACTAATAGGTAAGTATATCATATATATTAGTGCTGTCAAACAATTAAAGTGTTTAATCAGGTTCATCACAGGGTTACTGTGGATTAATTTTGATTAATCACGATTAAATACCATTAGTTTCTAATCGCATTTCATTTTGCATGAGCAAACAGACTCGAGAAAAAGGGAAAATATACACACTTAACATGTTTATTGAACATCTTGAACATTCATGTTAACAAAAAAACTGAAACATTTATCGACTCTCTCTCTGTCATTCTTGGGGAGGCACTTCAAGTCCTTGAAAAGAGGAACCAAAGCTGTGTCAAGCGCGTGTTCTCAACGATATTAATAGCATTGCAGTTTGTTGCAATCCACTTGACAATTGTGTCAGTCAACGTGTTGCAGCATCCCTGACTAACGTATGCTTTGCGTCAATGTGATATTTTCAGCTGAAAGTGCTTCAGTGAAAAGGAAAATCCTTCTTGCACAATGTGCATAATACTATGTCTGTCGACTGTTCCGCCTTGTTATTGTTTTTAAACACACAAATTTCCCATCAAGAGGGCCAATGTGCGTTTATCATCTTCCATATTGAGTTGATTTGTTCAGCTGCCCGTCACTACCAGATCAACTACCCATTTGCGCATGTGCGAAGGTAACTCTACTTGGACAAACTGCCCGAAATGTGTTAAAAGAGAAATTTCAGGGATTTTGAGTCATTCTTCACTCCAGATGCGTTAATTGCGTTAAAAATCTTAATCGCGTTTACTGCGATGGCGGCTTAATTTGCGTTAACGCGTTCATTTTGACAGCACTACAAAATTCACAAGTAGAGCCAGAATAAACTGATGAAATTTAATATCCCTGATGCTTTGTGCAAGAGCTGCCTGTTTACTTTATTCAATACTGCAAATATGTGTATAATCTTTTATATACAATTCTGAAAAATCTATTGTACTCACAACAGTTGGGAAAAGACAGTCTTCACAAAACAAATTAATTAGTCATACCAAAGTTATTCAGACTATCAGGAAATGGTGGGAAAAAATATCAAATCATTGCATCAAGAATTACAGATTTGATTAGAACTTGACTGGCACATGCTGACTGCTTTCTTTTTACTACCAAGATGGGAGAGAGCACACGAGATTAATAGTGCAGACTAGAATTAAGAGTGAGGCACCAAACATGAGGAAAGATGAAGGACAGGTGAGCATCCAAAAGACAAAAACAGTTTATTACAGTTTAAAAAGAAGCTACGAGTCCACAGTTCGAAAAGTTTAACAGAGCTAAATGCTGTCAGCATACGATCTTGCTGTTACGCCCCCAGTCTAGGGGTACAGGAACGCAACACAAGTTTGAAAAGATTGCCCCGCCCTGGTCCCCAAAACCATACACAGAGGGGAACCAATTCCTTAGTGAATTGTGATTTATTCTCTACACTGCAAAAATGAAGCTCCAGGGTGAACAAAGGCCAAAATAACAAACAAAACAAGCTAAGTCAGGAGGAGGTGCTATATAGAACCCTATGTGAAATCAAACATCAAACAAAAGACAAGCGCTACACCTAACTCCCTAACTGAAATAAACAGGAGAAAACAGTGCAAGGAAAAACAATACGCCAGCTCACCCCTTCTGTTGCAGTGCTATTTACAATGTGTTATTTACAATGAAAACTAATGTACACACTATATACAAAACTCAGAAAAGCCACAAAAGTCTCAGGTTTTTGGAGGCCAGGGTCAGTCTGCTGCTGCTGTCAGTGGCTGCCCCGGGACAACTGCTGGTGAGGGATTTGAAGAAGATCACATTGCCAGGGGACCAACCAGCAGCCGTCAGCTCATCCACTCCGGAACCTGCAAAGACTTAAAGGCACAGACAACAACAGCCACCAAAACAGATTATGGACAGGGCCATAACACTTGCATATGACTTCAAGGTTTTACTCCTGCTGGTTAAGGTAAAAATAATAATGAATGTTTATAGGATACTTTTGTGACAGACAGACACACCTGACAATGTGCAACAATTCTCCTATAAAATACAGTAAACACCTTTAAAAATGTGATGTTACTCAGTGAAGATCCAAAACATTTATGCAAAGACATTTTTTCCATTAGACTGTGACTATTGTAATGAAGTCTTTAACGAAGTCCCATTTTAAAGCACCATATATGCTGCGTAATAAAAGCTAAACCTATGTGTTACTAAAAAAAGACAACTTATAACGCTTGCACAATTTCTTACAAATATTCAGACTTATAACCAGAGACATCCTAATCTTGATCTAATGATAAACAAATACAACTCTAAATATGAAGTATCAAATGTCTTCAAATGTGTTGGTAAGGCTGTAGGATAGACTGGTTTGTAACCTGTAACTGAGCCAGCAGATGATGATATTGCCAACAACAGCGCTGTCAGGGAAGTCTTCTTATTGATTTATTGTTTGTTTGTTTGTTTTTTGTATTGCATGAGTTCATCTTTAACTGTTGTGAATTTTATTGCATGCTTTTATTGCAAATTTGTTGATTTTTTAGTGCTCACACCTGTGTGAGCTCATGGCCTTGAAGGACACTGGCATCAACCAATCAGGACAGACCTCTATCAGCCAGAGGACTAAAAAGGGTTTAGTGGGCGGGATGAGAGACAAAGGGAGACACCGGAGAGTGAGTGGAGAGGCAGAGTAGGATTTGAATGTGTACCAGCCTTTGTAATGCTACAGACAGAAGTGTGAAACAACTGGTAGTTCCAGAAAAATCAGCTGCAATCGGAGTATAGACCTCTGCTCGATGTCTGTGAGTACTCTCCACTAAAGAAATTAAATCAAGATTTGGTGCTTGACTGTCAGTCATTTTTCAAGGTCAGGGTGGAGCAGGGTGAAATATAAAGTGCACTGAAAAAGTGTCAGTGGGCATGTTTCATCCAAGCTGAATCAGGGCATGTTTCAACATTTCCAAGTTTTCTAGTTTAGCTCTTCAGGTGGGCAAAACAGAAAAATGTAGAAGTGGACAGATATTTCAACATCAGAGTGTTTTCAGTTAAGTTAATTTGTTACTGTCCAGTGGGGTGAACAGTTCTGTGAGACCAGATTATTCACATTGTTTGGTGACTTTTCATTCATTCAATTTCAAGATACCCAGATTTTCCAACTATGATTGCTGGTGCCTCCTGTTTACTTTAGGCAAAAACTGCACTGAAGAAGCACTGAGGTATTTAAAATCATGTTAGAACAGAGATACAAAGATATGCTATCACTGGGCTGGGCTTAAAGTGGCTAAATTATCTAAGTGTTACTCTGGTTATAAATCATTGTGCAACAAATCTGAACAAGCTTTTGGGAACTAGACTGACACTAAGGAATTCATTGTAAAATAACTTGTCTCACTTCCCAGGCTGTTGTTCTTATTGGTTCCCAGCAGTTGCTAATATGAGTTCAGTCTCCTTGCTTCAAGTATGTACCCAGTCTTTTCAACATTTAAATTTTTTAACTTGCTGAATTCCAGGAGGTAGAAAATAAATTGTTAATTTAAATCTTGCCAGATTCAAATTTACTGGACTGTGTCAATGTCAATTTTAATATTATTTGGATGGCACATTTCAATAGTAAAACCAATAAAATGAAGACAATGAATTAAAACTCAAAACAAAGTAAAACTAAGGCATCACAACATAAAATAACCCCTGATGGGACTCAAACTGAACTTAAAAGCCAAGGTAAAAAATTAAGCTATGTAATCAAGACTACGTACATGAGTGACGTAATCCTCCCTTTAATACCTGTTAAATGACTTGCAGCAACATTTTGAATTTTGAATGCAATGGAGAGATGAGTGTTCAAGACCCAAATACAGAGAACTGTAGTATCCAGTCCAGACTTGGTGTATGTCCTTCGTATGTAAAATGTCACAGAGCTGTTTTTTGACCACATTTGATTCTGCAGTGCTTTCTTTCAGTCGGTAGAAGAACAAGAAGACACAAAAATGGAGAACAGAAGAAAAGTGCTTGTTGTTGCAATAATTTTCACAGTTGCCTGCAACAAAGTAAGAATTAAGTTTTGTACAAACAAATATTAGAAGGTTAAAACATTCTTCACTTAAAAATGTGTTTTTAAATGTGATAAATCTCAATTAAAGGTGACCGCACAGGAAACAAGGCTACTGGATTTTCTAAATAACACAAATGTTGTAGATGACCAGTACAAAGGATGTGGTGAAGAGGCCATGAAGAAGTTCATCGAGTCAGATGTGTTAAAACGAGAGCTAAATAACAGTGAAGGATTTCAGAAAGCGTGGAATAAAAGTATCGAGTGTTCAAAGAAGATTCCTGGAGGAAGAAAAGAGCATAGTGCTGCACTTTCACTCTATGTTAATGGGGATCACAATTTATTACAAAGACTGAACAAGGCAATAGAGACAATGGGTGGAAATGTTAGCATCTATGAAAACCACTTCCACTTCAAGTCTCTTCATTTCCTGCTGATGGACTCCATGAGGCTGCTGAAGCCAAAGGAGTGCAAGAACTTTTATGTTCTGCTAAGTGGTCAAAACCAACCACAGAAAGGCTCCACAGTGAGATTTCCAAGTTTCACCTCAGCTTATTCAGATTATGAAGAGCTAAAAAGTGAAACTGACCTGTATGAGGAGGTCGTTTTAAATCTCACTTCTTGCTTCTTTGTCAACCTGAAAGACTATGTGTGCGGTCAAGGACAGGATGAAATACTCTTATCTCCAGCAGAAGTTTTCACTGTGGAGGACATAAATAGCAAAGTTGTGGAGGCAGATGATGATTCTCAATATGTAGAAATTGTTTTGAAACATGCGGGGCTTAAAAGCTCTCACAACTGCTACATCTTTTCACGGTAAGAGTCACAGTCTCTCAATTAAAGTGGAAAAAGTTTGACAATTTCCATGTTAGTTTTACAAATGTTTAGTATCGAAATGCAAAGTCAAGCTTCAAAATATTTTTAAAGATTTAAATATTTTTAAAAAATTTAATTTTAGATGTAAGTGCATATAATAAAATGTTTGTCGCATCTGTTATAACTTGTGCTTGTAATATTCATACATACACACAGAAAATGTGTGCATGTATGAATATTACAATAATTCCCCTCTCTGCTTTGTTTCCATGTCCTCAGGTCTCCTCCAGCTGTTGTCTCCACCCTGTGGCTTGTATCAGTGCTTTTGGCCTTATCTTTGTTTTGTTTTTTAGCTGTTTAGCAAAAACAGTTATCATTCAGAGTTTTCTGGGTTTTATCATCTATAATATTGCTGCAATTATTCATACAATGTCAAAATGATTCACGTCATACTTATCTGAAAGATCTTTTACTGTTTGTATGAATCAAGTGATCCAAATCAACAGTTTTGTTTTGTGGGGTGCCTCAGGGATCTGTCCTGGGTCCAATTCTCTTTTTGCTTTATATCTATTCCACCTAGGCCAAATTAAATTGGGGCTGCAATAATATGTCCTATCATCTCTATGCAGATTACATTCAGTTATACTGTTCTTTTAAAGTCTCTGAGCTTTATAATTTGTCTAGTTTAAGTAATTGCCTGACAGAAATCAAGCAATGGTTAAACGACAACTTACTCCGGCTAAACTGTGATAAAACAAACTTTAATTATTGCTCCAAACAATATGATTTCAGAAATTAGGCAGCATATCAGCTTAGAGCCTTCTGCTAAAGTGAGCCTTAGAAACCTTGGTGCCATATTTGACAGCTCCATTTCCCTTGAGCAACATTCCAAACAGCGGGTCCAGAACTGTTTTTATCATCCAAGGAATGTTTCAAAACTCAGACTAATGGTGTCAAAGGCTGAACTTGAGATGATTATTCATGCTTTTCCCCCCCCCTTCCCATTTGGATTATTGCAGTGGTCTTTTTACTTGTTTTAAGAAATCAGCTTTAAATAGTCTTCAGACTGTGAAGAATGCTGCAGGAAGACTCTTAACAGGCACCAACAAAAGATCTCATATTACTCCAGTTTTATCCTCCCTTCACTGATTGCCTGTAAGGTTTACATTTCTTTTAAAAATTTTAGTTCTAACCTTTAGGGCCCTACATGTTCAAGAGCCCCAGTACATATTTGACCTGCTGAAACCACATTCCGGTTCCCGATCTCTAAGGTCATCAGGTCAGAGACTGGATGTGGAGGTCCTGGGCTGGTGTGGTTACACGAGGTCTGCGGTTGTG